AGTCATACCCAGTCTCCAAGGTCAAGCTTGCATTCCTTCACTTTGTATTGTGCTTTAACCAGTTGCTACCATACATATTGTACATCACTTAATGCAGTCTTTAAAGACTGTGTATATAATTATGCAGACCTGCGTCACATCTTTTCTGAGTGTTGACCACACATAACATCCACTAGGAGCTTGGCCAAACATTAGGAAGTTTGGTGAACAATCAATTAATTCATGTTCTGTTGCACAATACATTGTTATGATTAACAAACTTTGCAAAAATAAACAATTTCTTTTCTATATTGCTCATTCTGCCAAACTACCAGACTAGGGTGATACTGCATATTGTGCATCTTCACCGTATTTAATATCTTATGTATCTCAAAAAAAAAAAAAAATGACTATCGATATTAGCTACTTAGTTCTTGTGGATTTCTCTTGGTACTGTGAATTGTGATATCCACTGCTCAGTCAATACATCGATGACAGATTGCACTAATATATAAATCAGTGAATAAGGCTTCAGATAACTTGATAATGATCAGCGTGTATTGGTTATTTTGTTCATTCTCCAGGAAAGTACCAGATGTATCCAGGATTATTCTGTGCAATGGAGAACCTATAATTCTATGTCAGAGACTTTACTGGGGGATCAAGCTTATCCTCTGAGCGGTAAAAAATGCTATTTGCGTCATTGCTCAACATCTCGATGTGAATACAGACAGAAATAAAATACATTTGTACATTAGCACAGGTGTGAAAAACACCCTGATGGTTTCAATTCCTTGCTGGAATATCTGCTGTCTAAGCATTCTAGAAACCACATTGCATCACATATTGTGAACCACGGTTCAGTGAATTACAGCAACAGTATAGCAAACCTACCTACATTCATAGGTGCTCGTATAATTATCACAGGCTACGCATGTCTGTACTACATGCTACTGTCTGCAACAGTTGTGCATCGCCTTGATGCACAAAAACTAGCATTTAAGCGAGATTCAGGTCCTTCAGTTGCTATTTCCAGAGCTCCTGGGGTGCGTGCCATTTGTTGAATCCATTGCTTAGAGGAATTATTTCATATTGTATAGTCGACACTAACTGCTACAATGGCTATAACAACTGTGATGTGCCCAGAGTCTTGACTTCAATGAACAGACAAGCTCTATCTTGTGGGAAATGCGTCTGTAGTTTCGTGTTACTAGCCCAGACACAGGTGTATGACAAGGTTGTACTCATACAATGTTATTATCCAACTTGAGATAATTCTTTTGGGTTTTTGAAGCTCACCAACAATTTCAATAACACATGGCTCACATAAATGGTGAATAACAAATTACTTACCGTATAATGAATGCTAAATACTACAATTACAAGTAGTTCATTCCTTGTCATGCAGTATATGCATTCTGAAGCCACTAAAGTATGACTAGCAAATGTAATTACATGCGGCAGGTCTAAATGGCATGACACGAATTTGTACAAACTAAATATACTAGCACAGGATCCCCAAAAGTGTTGTTTTAAGAGTAAATAAAATCAAAATTAAGAGTAACAAATATTTTTATTTCTTGTTTTTGAAGTTCATATGTCATGCTGTGTTGTAGTCTACAGAGTACATAATTCTTCTCGTAATTTATGGCATGCACACATTTTACTGATGTCACGACATTACAAATTGCGACGTTAAGTGTCCCTTATGTGACGTCATTTTAGTGTCTACTGACTGACAGACAACACACTACTATATACTGGTGCGAGAGGTTAAATCTGGTGACCCCTCCAGGCAGCCTTCGGCCCCATTCGGGGATATTATCTTGAGTTCTGAACGCAGTATTATATCTGTTTTCATCATGCAGTACCCAGGAGCCAGATCAGTGTGCAGCTATGTGCTGAACCAATAAGCACTTTCTAATACACAGAACATTTATCTGTGCATGATTCATCGGGTTCACTCGCCTAAAATCAATACAGAGTCTAGACATGTCTTCCTTCTTCCTGATAATTACTACAGCAGATAACCAAGCTCTCTCGGAAGGTTATATGATTCCATTATTCAATATCTGCTATATCTTAGCACTGGCGATATTCCTAGTGATCTAGAAACGCTAGCACATAGATTGTTTGACATGGTTCATGTCACCTTTGTGTGGTGACAAATTATTGTTATCTATCCCGAATGGCCATCTGATTCCACAGAAACATTGGCATATTCAACCAGCAACTCAATGAGCTTCTTTCATTGTTCTGAGCCCAAGTTGCTTCCACGATACCCATTCAACGATTACAGATATAGTAGCTGTTCACTCACGTTTGGACAAGGTTGATGCCACACTTTCTGAGGTGAAAATTTCTGAAGGTCGTTTTGGCTAAATCAGAGCTACTGTAGCTACTGCAGTGGGCTTCCATTTCTCTTATAACTAACTTGAAGTTACAACTTTAACCTAGTTTCTGTAAAAGCAGTCTGGTTCTCTTTGATTTCACTTTTTGAGCTATAAACTTTACTTGATATATAGCTCAGCTCTCTGTTGGGTCAAAATGTTCATGCAGCTCACTATGACTTGTTCCAGTCACTGAGCTACTCCTTATCAAATGATTAACTGAGTCAAGGGTTAAGCCATTCACACCTAGCATCAGGCATTGCATCAAATGTCTCTGAATCCATACATTTACTTGTGTGAAGTGCTTAAGGAAGTGACCCAAATTAATATTTCGAGTTCCCTTGAATGCAGGGGGAGTTTGGATGTTTGCCAGTGACCTGGAATGTAAGAACAGATCACACCCATTGGTTTCTTGGCCAGAAAACTTCAAAGTTAACCTGACAATGTAGCAAGGTCTTCCACGTCTTCAAATGATATTTTACAGGTCAATAATCACAGTTAATCTCATATCCCTCAAATTCTTAATATCCAGATCAAATCTTCTATTTCTATTCAACTGCTTCTTAACCATTGTGTTCTTTGTGTAATTGATCCATTTGTGTTATACAACACTGAAGAATGAGGTTTTATAATGTCAATATACCTGCTTAAGACCGTACAAACCTATATTTATTTATACACATATACTGCCATATACGTATATTACTATTACACATTGTCACATACCCTGATAGCTTATAAGAAATTGCATCTGGCTCCCATGCAAATGACTTTGGGAACCTTTCTGGTTTACTTTCCGAAGCTATAATTTGGTAGCAGTAGTCCTGAAATGTACTTCTATCTATTAGTGTCAAACTCAACTCATTTTCCTTTTCGGGCACCACAAAGTAAATAATCACTCGCAGAATACAGTCACGCCAAGACTTTTCAGCTAAAATTCTTATAAGCCAGAATCGATACTCCTCCTTCATCAAAAACTCCTTAATAATAATAAAAATCAGATAGGGCTGGTATCATCTTAAATAAGATCATCTGATTGGTTGTATCTGTAATTTGAATGTATTTGTGCTTTAAATGTTGTACATAATCACGTCGCATGGTTAAAGACGAAACCTTGTACCGAAATACTATCCTATTAATAGCTGTTTCAAAACGAAATACAAAAAATAACTATATATGTAACTGATATTCGATCCAAGTCAGTTGCAATTCGTTTATTACCCGAAGTAGACTTAAGTCCGAAACGTCACAAAATAAATTTATTCATTAAGATTACAGAAAGATTTTTTATTAAAGAAATTAAAAGTTAATATATATATTTATTTACACAAGATAGTTCTTCAAGCAAGATTTTTTTTCCTCGAGCTAATTTCGTACGACATTCCCCCCAGTGGTGTGTACAGCAGATAGCCTATTGTGTATCTTTGCGCTCAACAAGAAACAAAACTTTTTTCTCAAGATATCACGCGTTATTAATATGTCTAATAATTGAGAACCTATTTGAGGACAATAGTCGTATGATTTTGGTAAGTATATTTCAGACCTTGGTACGACGGGTACTCGAAAATCCGTCTTTTTTTTTATACCCATTGACCAAATAAATTTTATAGTTTAAAGAAAATGTGAAAAATAGGACAACAACGCAGTCGTAAGCGTGAATCTCTGAACGGCGTACAAAAAACAAGGTTGACAGAAACTTTGCATTTATATTGGAACTTTTCCTTTGGTAAAAAAATCCCACACACAGCACTCCGTTGTTTCGATGCCATGGTTGCGTGCTATTTAGCTGTCTTGTTAATGTCAACCTAAAAAACAAAAACAGCGGAATATGGCCAAGAGATGGCGCACGTTTTTACAGTAATAATTGTATTCAACCTAAGGTGTTATTATTATTTCGTCATTTTCACTGCTAAAAAGAGGCTGTACAAATCTGACTATAGATAGCGTTTCTATATTTTATATAGTATTTGATTATGCAATATTCACTTAAAATATTAATATTTGGGATCAAATTAATGCAGAACTCAGTTCCAGACTTTCTGATTTTGTCGACTTCTGATATTTGACTTTATTTTTTCTTAAGAGATTAATCATGTCTTATTTCTACAATAATTAGTTTGAAAACATTTGATCTTTTGGATGATAGGTTTTATTTCTAATTTAATTTTATAGCTGTGTTACATATATCATATCTAAAAGGAACCTATGTTTTGCTTTTATTATATTTCTGGCTCTACCTATTTCTTTTATTGACATTGTATACGTTTTCCGATATAACTTTTTATTGTGAAAATAACCACGGTAGCTTATATGATTTTTTTATAGTGAAAATAACCATGATAGATTATATGACTTTTTGTGAGAATACTCTACGAATCTCTGGAGGATCATGTGTGTTCTCCATATTAACTATTACCCTGCTGAGTATATATTTGTGATTTCATTGTGTGAATGAAAAATGCGTTATGTGCATTTTAGGGACACCTTCAATTTTATTGTTTTAAGTCACTTTATCTTAGGTCAATAAGCATTTGAAGTTTCGAGTTTTGATGAAACTTTAATTAATTCAGGATATAGTATTCTATTTTAACCATTTCTGTATACAAAGATATTTGTTTTATATACATGCATCTATCGTGATTTTATTGGCCATTGATTTCTACAGAATATATAATGCACCCAATTATATAAAGAGAGTTTGTGTTTAAGATTAAACTAAACATATAACAACAACTTTATTTCATCTGTGAGCTTACTCCTCAAGCATTTAGCTATGTGTTATACACGTGCCTCTCCCTATATATATATACATGTGTTTGAAAATTTAAGTATCGAATTATTGTTATTGAGTTTCAATCATACAATATTTTTCATTTTAAAACTATTAGAAGCTCAAATTTATATGGATATTAAAAAATGTCACACAAAACTCAATACATTTTACATTGTTTTGAAATAGCATTACACGTAAAAGGTTGAATATATTAATTGTGCATGGGCAAAAATCACAAGTTGTGTTTTAATAACTTCATATTTAAATGCCTTTGCTCTCTAGTGACAAAATTACCACACTGTAGAAGACTTCACAAAATACTAACATTTCTTGATATACTTCTACATATTTCTTGACTCATGACTTGTTGTTACCTAGGTATTTTGCCTATAATATTTTGAGTGCTGTAAGAACTTATTTCTAGTTACCTTTATTATCTTTATTCATTGTTTTAACTGGGAAATGTTTTAAAAGTCTCCCAAAACTATTTTATTCTATCTTTATATTAAATTCTGATAAATTCAATCATATATAAATAGAGTTCGAGCCCGTCGCTGTCTTTAGTACACATTTTGAAACGTCTAGATAATATATATATATATAATCATGTAACTATTACATACTGATGAAATTACTTTTATAACAGCACAAAATTGACAATAGTTCAGGTGGCATGATAAATTTAAGTTCAAACTATTCAAAACATTAACGTTACGTATTAAAACTATTTGACGGCTTGGCAGTTATCTTTGTCGCCGAATGTGCATCTTCCGATTTCTTCCATAAAGATTCGATCAGCTGGACATTTATGGACAAAGCTGCGGAAATAGCCTTCTGTGTCGGATGGTGCACAAACCACGAACCTGCCACAGTCATGCGGGTGACGGAAAAGGCCGCGCTGTAGACATTCAATGTCTTCTCCATTAGCAATTACTGATGGCCCAACTAGCTCGGGCGTCGTTGTTGTGGTGGTAGTTGTAGTTCTGCGTCGCTTGATTGGTCTAGATGTTTTAGTTGTTGTAGCTATAGTGGTGCTTGTAGTTGTAATTGATCGAGTAGATGGTCTAGGTGTTGTAGTTGTAGTGGTGCTTGTAGTTGAAGTTGACTGGGATGGTGGAGAAATTGTTGTGCGAAGATATGTTCGATTAATGCTTGACAGTCGGGAACTGGTCTGTTCTACATCTAGTGGGGTGATATCGAGGGTATTTGAGGGATCTTCGTGTTTTTGTCTTTCCTGAAGCGGAGGTTGGTAAATAGGTAACCTATAACGACGGAAATATTGTCTTGGAGTTGTCGGAGGTTGGGTTGTTGTTGTTGTAGGCTCATCAGTAGTTGTTGTAGTCGTAATACGAACTGTTGTTGTTTTAGGTGGTTTATTTCTTGCTCGTCCTTGTCGATTCCTTGGGACTGCCACATATTCATAATCTCTTTCGTTTTCCGTTTCTTTTATCAGTTTCTGTTCATCGGCTAATCGCATAATGCCCATAGATCCAGCGTCTTCATAATTATTGGCAAATACAGGTCTTCGGCGAACTTCAAGTCTTCGTTTGTGTAAAGCATCTTCACTGAGGTTGTCCAATTCTTGTGTTCGAATAGCAATTGGTCTAGATCGAACGCGTATTCTGGTTCTCCTACCTTGGCCAGTTTGGCCACGAATACGAACAACTTTACCATCCTTTATACGGACTGGAACCAAGTAAAATTTTGATTCTTCTTTAGGTCCCTGCGTGGAAAGAACTGGGATTTCTGTTATGGTCAGATCTTCATCATAAAAAGAAGTCTGATATATGAATGGATCACTGACCAAAGACTGATTTCCTTTTTCTGAAGATGCAGCTTGGGTACTAGGCAGTTCTCTAACTTCCGATTCTGGAGTTCTAGCAGAAGTATGGTAAACGGCAGATAAATCAGCCTTTTTGTTAACGTGATAATTACTATCTATATTCTGTTGTTTCTGCTGTTTGGGCTCTGCATACTTAAATACTTTATCAGAATTTTCCAGTGCTTCATACTGAAGTCGACGAGGAACCTGATTGTTTAATTGGTCTACTGGCTGGTAGGCTGTTTTGTGTTGTTCTTCTAGTATTGCCGGTCTATATAGAGGTGGAGAGAATGTACGTTGGTAACGTAGAGGAGCATATGTTGTTGATGACGGCGTTGTTGAAGTTGTAGGAGGTTCGGTGATAGAAGGTCTAAACTGTTCTGTTGTGACCTCTGTTCTATCAGGTTTTTGGGTTGTGATATACTCTGGCAATACTTGATGATTGATGGACTGTTGTGTTTGCTTCCTACTAAGATTATTTGTTGTAACTTTTTTCGTAGATTCAGATCCAAGGATATTTTGTAGACGGTCCACTCCTCCAATAGACTGAAGTAGGCGCAAGAGGTCTGCAAGATTTCTGCTATTAGTTTTACCAGGCTGAAAGTTATTTAGTGTGTTTCCATCTTCATTCTCAACGTTTCTCGGTGGTTCTGTTGTTGTAATGACCGGTTGTGGTGTGGTTTGTCCAACTGAGATAGGAGTAGATAGAACTGGTGATACAGGATGACTATCACACACCACATTTTCCGGATAATCACACGCCTCCATTTTACTACTAAAATATAGGCCTGATGGGCAAGTAAATGCATGAGGTACAATACCTAGCTCTGCTGGCCCACTATCTAGACACCAGAAATACTTTCTACAGTCCTGTTTGTTGCTATAAAAGCCTTCATCTGTACAGGTAAAGGGGGTAACAGGATCAGTTGTCGGAGGTGGGGTTGGAGTTGAAATAGGATTCCTAAGTTTAGGAGATTCCGTAGTTGGGTGAGGTTGAATAACTTCGTGACGTTGAATGTTAGGTCTGTTGGGTCTTTCTTCATTATCTGCTATTGGTGGTCTATACACTTGGTCATCACCGCCATTCTCCTCCCGAGCAAATATTTTCTTAGAAGAGCTTTCAATACTATTGGAAAATAAAGTCTTGCGAAGCGCATTCACAAGTGGGTTCTGTTCAACACCACAGATACCTCGAAAGTCGTCGTTGTCGAGGGTCCACACCATAGCACCACCAAGTCCTCGCTTTAAGATAAACTTTGCCTAAAACGATAAACCAGTCTCTATGTGTATTGATTAGACGTAAATGATAATAGCCAAACTTTTCTTTTCTTGTTTAAAACTGCAAGAAGAGTATAAGTTACTCGGCTATTTGTTCTTCAAAGTAAAGTTTACATATAATATTTTTGTTGTCTTGCTACAGAATATAACAATCTTTGTTATTAATAATCAAATCGAATAATGAAAAGGAAGCATTTTAAACTTATAAAAGTAACTCAGCTAACTAAGAAAATACGAAAAATAGTTAGAAACATAATGCTTTTCGATTAAGCAAAAATGATAAACTGGATTACAATGTTATGTTTTCATGTGAAGTAAATAAGCACATGTATTTTGTTTGTGTATTCTGTTTGAATTTATAATACAAATTAAGTGAATGTATAAAAAAAGGTAAATTAACATCAGTTTTTAACTGATATGCCTTTTAGCAGTTAAGTTTGTTATTCTTATTAGGATAATTTCATTAGTGTTGAAACAAGATTTATATACCAGGTGTCAAACATTTGAAAAGCTAGTAACTTTCAAATTCCTAAATAACACATTTGATATTCAGTTAAATATTTTCCCTTGTGGAATACTATTTTATGGAGGTAAAAAAGTAACAAAAACGCAAACATCAGCGATAGAACTGTTTCACTAATACAATATATTAGTGGCGTATCCAGGATTACCTGCTTGTCTTCTTCGAAGGAAACGATAACTTGTCGTTTCTCATACTTAATGTTTTTTGTTTGTGATTTATCGTTTATATACCACTTGGTGATTGTTTTTCGTAATTGGCAATACATTACAAGGATTAATAAAAATTGCTGTAAAACTGAAGACGATTTAACAGTTTATGCATGTTGAATATCTGCTCATATTTCTATACTCCAAATGACTAAATTGAAACTACCTTTTGAATAATCATTTCTGCATCATCAAAGTTCAACCACTGATCGCCTTTGAAAGCGTACGGCCCCATTAGCTCAGGATAAGGCCTGCGAACGGTCCATCCTCCATCAAGGATATTCTGACAGATCTAGAATTAATCCAACAAACTTGTGTTCACAGCTGAAGGTATTTATGTATATATATATATAGTTCTCAACAAAGATTCATGATACCTTATTCAGTATTGTACTACTAATAGGCAGTGTTTAGTGCTCACTGTTAAGCAAGACGGAAAAACAGTAAGATAAGATAACAAGAACTGATGTTATCAGTTATACAGCTACCAAATTGTTACATCAATAACTTATACAATATATTCATCGTAAAACCAAAACAGAATGCTAGCAGTTCCACAGCTACTACTTTCGTGCAAGTTTAATAAGTGTGCAATTATCTGACGTAACTGAACCTTAGGCCTACTGGTTATTCCGTCCGCCTGGTATACAGACTTTTCTGCCCGAAAATTGATAAAACATTTCGGTTATGAATATTTCAGGCCACCAGGTGAAAATAGACACGAGAAATATATTTTTTATTAATGACGAATCTTTTTTTTTTTTTGTTCAGAGACAATCTTTATGAGTTATCATTTCGTTAAATTGGATTAGTTCAATAAGGTTAGATTTAATTGATTTTTTAGGCTGGCACTTAAAATGACGATATCCAGCACTGACTTAAAAAACAAACAAACACTGTTGTTTAGATAGGAAATTTAGTGGAGATTTCATTTAGACTAGTGCTTACATATTTACATACTTAGAAACTCTGATAAGAGTTATGATGTTAAGAAAAATCAAAAGTGTTATATCGTGGCTGCAAGGTCTAGAATTCCCTGGAGTTACATGGGGCCGAAATGTCCGACAACCATGTATCTGGTTATCAAAGGATCAGCCTACAGCAATTACAAAAAGAGCTCAAATGCTGTTTAACCGAATTTCTTGTTCTCACACAACCTTTATTTGAGCATGGATAATTTACAAAATGTAAACATATTTTCTAAAAAACTGAAGCCAAATTAATTAATTTGAATAATGATAAATGCATGTGTGTTGCCTGTTACAACAGAATTACTAGCAACAACATAATTAAACATTTCGGTTTCATTTTGAACAATTTGATGATTTGCAAAATGGCAAAACAAAATAACATATGTGAATTTTTATTATTAAACGTATAGAAAGGCGACACTAATAAACATCACAAAGAAACACAGATCAATATCTATAGGGAATTACACGACACTGTAGCCTTCCAGTGGCTCAGCAATAAGCTCATCCAGTAAAAATTAGGGTTCGATACTCGTGGTAGGCACAGCACTGATTGCCCATCGTGTAACTTTCTGCTTAAAACACAAAGAAACGAAATTGTCAGAGCCAGAATAGCTGATGTTTGCAATCCAGGCACAGATATCTTTTTGGAGAGCTAAAAAGCACAATGAAGCATATTTGTTTCATTTCTATGGTAAAAGTGCCAGAGTGGGGTAGCTGATTTTCGAGACTCAGTTGTTGTCGTTTGGTCTTAACTGCATTTCAATCATCGTGGCGTATCACTTTAATAGAGTATACTTGTTTATGCTTCGAATAAAGGTTATTTGTTTGTTTGAAGTTAATCACAAAGCTACACAATGGGCTATCTGTGCTCTGCCCACCACGGGTATCGAAACCTGGATTCTAGCCATTGTAAGTCCGCAGACATATCGCTGTGTCACTGGGGGCAAATAAAGGTTAACAACATTTTGTGGAAACTAGTTACTATATACGAGGTAGTCATGTAGTTAATTATAAAATGTTTATATGCATGATACCCTTGGCAACGCTAAAAAGTTTGGACAAGACGGTTCTGCGATCACATTGGAAGTTGACCATGTTTACGATTATGCAACTGATCTCTGCAGGTTACCAAAGCTATGTAAACTGACTGATAAATATATTTTCTCTAGTTCCTTTCTAATTGCATAACATAGACATGTCCTGAAGTTTTCATTCCTTACGATATTGCAGTGGTTATCAAACTTTATTAACCCGACGACCCCTTTTAACTGAACATTTTTTTCACGGACCCCAAATCTGTCGATGTTTTTAGTTTCGAAGAAAAAAAGAAAAGAGATTCCGTGTGAATGAAAGCTGTATTCTGAAATTAAATGTTTTAATTCATATAAATTTAATTTTACGAGAAACATTGTTTATTGTATAAATCACATTTTAAAAAAGATTTAAATGAAATTTCGCACATGACTCTCGGCCTTTGTCCTTTGACATGGATTAAATTTTCATTGTGTGTGTTTTGTTTATAACACAAGGCTATATAAGGGCTACCTGTGCTCTGTCCACCGCTGGGAACCAAATCATGATTTTTACAGTTGTAAATCTGCAAAATTACAGCTGACCCACCGAGAGACTAAATTTGGGAAACATATTAAGATTTATTTTCGGCAATTTCGGTAAATTTTTTTGTAAACAATGGTACAATCAATAAGAGAAAAGGGTTTGATAACTTCAGATTCACATTGTACACTGAATGTGAAAAAAACATATCATGCTTTTTTACTTGAAGAATGGAGTTTGATAAATAACTCTGATTAGTAAGCAAGAAATTGAAATAAAATTAATAGAAAAAAAAATTGTTTGGTGTAAAGCACTAAGCTACACAATGGTCTGTCAGTGCTCTACCCACCGCAGGTGTCGAAACGGATTTTTAGCGTTATAAGCTCTCAGCTTTACTACTGAGCCGCCTGAGGCAATAGGAAGAGAGAAATGAAATGCATAGGTGATGACCGTACTAACGTTTCACAGAACAACAAAAGCAACTTACTTATATATTTATAACATAATAGAGCTCATATAATATATATTCCGAAAATTGGTTGAGAACAACTGTAACTTAAAAAAAATTACATTTCCATGACAAGCGTTTTTATCGGAAGACGAAACTTTTTACATTTCAATCGTTCCCAAGAATTTTTGTTATACATTAAACATATAATTTTCTAGTTACATATTTTGGTTCCTTTTTAAGATATTTAAATATTTTTCACAAATGTCTAAAACCTGAATATCTATTTGAAATTGGTAAAAAATTTATTTTTTTGGGAACAACAAGAGCTACTGATTGAAATCTGGACAAATTTTGTCACATCTTTATTAAGGATCTTTCCACAGCCCGTCGGGTACGAAGTTCTATAGCAAGTGATTCGTCTCTGGAAAGTCATGTGGAAATAGCGTTGGAAAGACAGTTTCCGTAGTCATCACTAACTAACGTTGGTGTACCATACGAAGAAAGACCACATTGCTTATGAGTTAAACTTACGATTCTTGGAAACGATTAAATTTTCGTTGCAAATCATGTTAAATTTTATATTTGTGATATTGGCCTTCCATTTGGTATTTTTATTATAGGGTCCATCGTAAAAATAATTGAATTTCTTCTTCAAAGAGATAGAGAACATTTCTTGTTTGACTCGACCAGAATTCCATGTTATTATCAAATTCTTTTGACTCTGTATTTGGATACATAGAAATTCTAGTGTCGGCCATTGTATTGTTGGAGTATCAAGAAACACTTTAACATCTGAAGACAAAGACTTCAGTATTGCGACGAAGTGATTTTCTGTCCCTTTTACTTTTTGACTTAGACCCATTCGTGAGCAAATGATGGTAATTAGTGGTCAGGATGATGCATGATGCTCAGAAACGTTTGAGAGCCACTGATGCGATTGGTCATGTGTGCCGTTCATCGCTGGATACGAAGAATAAATGCATGTTCCAATAGTGTTTGCAGGTGCAATGAGTGTCCAACCAGAAGGATAAGAACAATTAATACAACAATATCTGATGATGTCTTCGAAGCTGTTCTGCTTTTAATTAGTCTCTTTTCATTTCTTACTCAACTGAAATCCATTGCTTCTTCGACTGAGTCATCTTGAATCATTTCTTCATTAGTTTTCATATACTTTCCTGAGATCATTATCTTTATCTTTTCATTTGATTTTGTTAAACACTGCTGGGTCAATACGCATATATTCGTCCTTTCCGGCTGGTGCTTAAACGGAATTAGTTCCATTTTACTTGTTTTTCAAAACAATATTGGATAATGTAAACACCATCCAGAGGAATATTTGTCCGTAAAAAAGTATGAGTGATGTTATCATAGTTTGTCCTTCTTTATATCTCATGGACTACAGTCATCTGGATATGAACAGGGAAGACCGTTCTGATGACCCTGTGTATTTGATTTGTTATTCAGAAAAAAGTAAACATTTTCTTTCTTTTTTAATTCGATCTACACCCCGTACACTTGGATTGTTCGCTAACAGAACTAAACTGAGGTCACAAATTTGATAGTCTATATAGCTTATAATGGAAGGTAGATTCAGACGTTTCGTTCCCATCACTTACATGAATTCGTGCTCTTTGGCCATACTTCAAATATAATAATTTCATCTGCTACATTATTCTTATATCATAAACTCTTGGGCTACTCTTTTACCAACAAATAGTGGGATTGACCGTCACCTTATACCGCCCCCACGGCTGAAAGGGCGAGCATGTTTGGTGTGACGGAGATTCGAACCCGCGACCCTCAGACTGCGAGTCGAGCGCCCTAGCCACCTAGCCATGCCGGGCCACATTAAATCTTAGTGCGACTGGGTCAATTTTTTCTTCTATGATTCTCTTCCTTTCTCTCTTTCCTACTGGATTCATATTTGTTAAACGACACTTCCTGTTATTATTTTATATGTACAGTAAAGGCGTATGGCAGATGGAAAGTTGATATCTATTGCTTTTGTTACAAGTTTTATCCTCGCTCCCGATTCTGGTGTTGATTAGTTTGTTTGATTCTTTAAAAATCTCTGAGCTGGTAGAAAATTGTGTGGTAAGTTTTCATGAATCTATCCCAATGGAGGGAAACAAACCCCAAAAACAACCGGCTGATCCCCACTTTCTTTTTGTACAACTCTTGGAGGTTAGTGCACCACTGATGTAGCATAATAGTAGCTTAAGTCAATTTCAGTATATGCAGTTGTTTAAAATTATTCGTAATATTAAGACTTTTATACACATACACACACATATTTTTATGAAATTACGTGTATTTAA